AATTTATTTTTAATACACAGAAAAAGAACAATTATTCACAGTTTTGAGAATAATTAATTATTATTTCCCGAATGGTTGAAATTTTCCTCATCTATTTTCTCATTTTTTACTCTCCTTTGGAATAAAATTGTGAATAATTGTTCTTTTTCTCCGTATCAAAAATAAATTATCCCTGTTGATGATGAGAGATACATCAAGGGCTTGGAACGAAATGTCCGAATAGTTCGTTGAATTTATCTATTTATTTTGTAGATGTAACTGGCAAATGATCTAAAACAGAAAGAATTTAATAATGTTCTCGCCAAAATCTTTGCTGTACAATCTTCCACATTTATTGTTTGAGTCTTTACGTGAATGCAGTGGTAAATGGCGTAACACGACATTTCCGCGCCGACTTTTCCGCGCATGACATTTTCTCGCGCAGCACTTTCTAGCAGAGATATTTCCGCGCCGACACTTACGCGCAAAATGAAGTTTTTCTTGAAACCGAAGCTAAGTATAAATGTTTATGAAAAACGTGAATTATATACCATTAAAGAAAAGAGCACAGATAGATATCATTTTACAGTTAATGGGTAGTCAATCAAATAATTAAAAGTTGAAGATTGACCTAGCCATTTTAAAATAGTCTTCACGTGTAACAACGTTAAAACCTTTTACCATATTTTTTATTCGATCATCTATTTTTTCGTATTTTTTTCGTTTAGTTTGTGTGCATTTGATTTGAAACTACAGCCGTATTTTGTTCTTCTCTTATGATGTCTTTGATAAATTTGTGAATACTCGGATGATCACCCACAACATTCTAGACATAAAACATTCAATAGAAAAAGAGGTAAAAGATCTAGTTATACGTACATGGAAAGCGTTATCTCATCCCTCAACAGCATTATTTGTACGATGTAAATCTAAATCAACTCTTGAAAAACAATTCCACATTAGCACTCTAAAATTAGGATTTCTTCTGCGATTTCTTAACATTTTTCTGCCAATAAAATTGTCTTCAAAATACACGAATAACTCTGAAAGTTAAAGATGTCAGATGAAGTCTCTATGTACACATACTAACATTTTCTTCTGCTTACCATCTAATACATCTGGCGCATTTTTTTTTATTTGAGTTCTTGAATAACATTTTGCTGTGGAACGAAGGCTAATGCGACTAAATTTTTCATTGTGTGACGACTATCTGCATTTTCAAGAAACTCTTTTCTCAAACATAATTCCTGTTAGAAAAAGATAAACTATTATAGATAGCGCAAGGCAAAACTTCCACTTACAATCTCATAATTAAAATAAGAGTAAATGTACTTTTGATCACCAAAAACAGATACTTTTGATCACCAAACATATTTAGATACAAACGATCACCAAAAAAGGATACTTTTAATCCCCAATTTTCTCAGCATGCCATGCATTTCACGTTTTATCGCTAACTTGATACAAGTTAAATAAAATTGCTAATGCAACAGAATGTTTACACGAATATACTAATAATAGTACAACAAGCGAACACGATTGTTGCCACACTAGAAAACTATTGAATGTATTATTGGCTAGGTATTTATCCTTCTCGTCGGTGGGTTATATTCAATGGTTTTCTGGTGTGGCAACGATCCTGTTCGCTTGTTGTGCTATTATTAGTATACTCGTGTAAATATTCTGTTGGATTAGCAATTTTATTTAACTTGTGTCAAGTTAGCGATAAAACACGTATTCAGCCATTAGGCAAACGAAAAGCAAAAGGGCGTCCCAAGAAAGTTAGTACAGCTTTAAATTTTTTAAATAGATATAAATAAAAATATTGTTCATTTGGTTAAAATCTCAATGAATTTGTTTGTGTTGTACATTGTACTTTGTTGAGAAATAAAAATGTGAAATACATGGTGAAAAATTTGGTGATCAAAAGTATCCTTTTTTGGTGATCATTTGTATCTAAAGCTGTTTGGTGATCAAAAGTATCTTTTTTTGGTGACCAAAAACTTTGATACCCTTAAAATAAACTTACGCAAATATTTCTCCATACACACTGTTTGAAATGAAAAACACGACCAAATATATCACATTGAGGAAATACAGTAGCAAGCGCATTTTCGTTCGCTTTTTCAAAATCAATTGTGACATATTTTGGTTTGTGTTGAATGTGCTGATCAACTATTTTAAATAATTCTTCATATGTTCCTTGAGTTTCATTTGGTAAAAGGGCGTACAATAACGGCAACGTTTTTCCGCGTATTGAACCATGAATAGAATACATTTGTTCAAATAACTTAGGAGCTACCTATAGATGAGAAAACAGATATACTGCCGGACTCTGACTTGTTATTTCAAAAACTGACAGCGAACGTGCCGTCACAATGCCGACTTTCACATCCATTCAAAAGATCTAATTGTTCGATACTAGCAAATATTAATAACCTTTGATGATGATTGTTATTATCATAGGTGAAAAAGCTGTTTTTTTATATATTTTATTTTCAATTTCTATATAAACATTGTAATCTTCTGGTCGTAAAATATTATTATTTGATTTTATAGATTTTTCTTCAATTTGAGTTAATTTAAATAAATTTTCTCTTAAAACTGCTAAATTTGAATTGAATGCAGAATTATCATCTTCAATTTTATGTATTGATAGAACATGGTTTATTCCGTTTCTTGTGAACTTTTTTTTCTATTCTTTACAATCTCTGATAATACAAATAATCTGATCATTAGTCAGACAAAACGATTTTAACATATTAAATACTAGATTAGTATTTTCAAATGATGTACTTTGAAGAAGAATCCAACAATTTTCAATTAACATCATATTAAAAAATACGTGAAGATGTTTTTGTTTATAACCATGATCCTGAACATCAAATATATTGAAACCACAAGAGAATTCTGATGTAGAAAATATCTCATATATTCCACCATCTATTTTTCCAACTGTATTCGTAATAAATTATATACATTAAATCTTGTTTAAAAGTAATAGAATAAGCAATAAGAAAAAAATAAAATCAAAAAAAAATAAAAAATAAATCAAAGTAATTAAGCAATAGAATTAGGACCCAATGATATTTGGACAATCATTTGTTAAACAATGTGCATAAGCTTGAAGAGGTATTTTGTATATTCATTTTTTTTTCAATAATCCATTTGTATGCAAAAGATAAAGCAATAGCAAGCTTTTTCAATAATGATAGAAGATTGATTTGATGATAATATCACGTCGTGTTATATATCAATTTAGAATAAGACTAGCAGAAAAGGAAAAAAAACATCTTCCTAAAACACACATGCAAATAGATACACAAAAGCGTATGTATAAAAACCACCATTTCAAAACTAAAATGAAATATTATGATTTATATTCTGCATCGATCGCAATTATCTGAAAACTATCTAAAAACTGTCTGATTTATTGACCGTTTTTAGGTCTTAAATATGCTTTTATAATCCATTCCATAAAGAAATGATGATTCTTCCCAAAATATTTCTAATTCACAAATTTCCGAGCAAACGATTGCTTTCTTTAATTTATTTATTATATAAGATAACATAATATCAAGAAGAGATTTACTATTAATATTTTCCATTTGATGTTTAACGATTTTCTTGAAAATTATTAAAATCAAGAGGAATAATTTCTGAAGATGCTTCTTGTGAATAACTCTTATCATTATCTCCAAAAATTAATTTCTGAAAAATGTTTAAGATTTTCGAAATTTTCATTTTCTTCTTCATCATTGATTGTATCTACGTTTGTTGTTTGTACTAATGATGAATCGATAGATTCGAAATGTTAATTATATTTTATATTATTTCAATATTTTAATTAATTAATAATCTCACTAAGCTGCTAAAATTATGCGAAATCATTTTGTTAAATTAGGAAATGCTCCTGTGAATTGCCATCAAGAATCTATTTGAAAAATAAAAATAAATCTGGATAACAATAAGTAATTTTACATAAACAGAAAAGAGAAATGTCATGGTCATCTCATTTTTAAATCACGAATGTTTTAAATTCTCTTCCTCAGCAAGCAGTTAAAGCAAAACTGTTGACTCTTTCCTCGCTGAGCTATCCTCAAAATACTGAGGGGACTTAAAAAACGGAAAAATACCTGTTTTCAGAAAAAGCCGTGTAATTTTATCAGGAAGTGTTGTACAGCTTTGAGATTAGCATAGTCAGATTCAGAATCTATAATCTGTACGTGTATTTTCTCAAGCCGCAAAAGAAAAACTCGATTTTTGGCAAAGCCCGAAACCAAAGTGACCAAAATCCACCAACCGTTTTCGTAAGCCTTTCGACTCCCTCTGGAGAGGTCCTAGAGTCAAAATTTTTACACGGTTCAATGTACCATTTCAAGCTCTACAAAAGTATATGTACACTTTTTTTTCGCGTTCGCGAGATATTCGACTTTTACTAGGAAAGATCGAAATTCTGCCAGTAATTCGCCATTTTCTCCATCAGAACTCAACTTTCACACAATTAAAATATCATATTCGCCATTGGAGTCAAAAACCGAGTCGAATGGTATATGTTTCAAAATTTTTCGTTGATTTTCATTTTCTGCTAAAAGTCTTAGTAATTCTTGGACGCAAAAATCAAAAAAAATCAGAGCGATCGAACAAGATAAAAAAGTACAGCATTCTCGTGATAACACGTTGACCAGACATAGACAAAAAAGGAAACAAAAATCATCTATATCAGTGAATTCATCAGTTAAGTCGACTTTTTTTTGTCACGATGTTTCTACACTTTACTCGATAACTATATCAAGTTTCGAGACAAGTTTTTGATAAAACAGTTGATGTATGCTGATATAATGTTGGTTCTTCAAGACGGTTGGGGAGACGCTCAGTTTAAGTTTTGGGTGCTCAAAAATTTCAGGCTCGTTAAAGTTGGGGATCTCAACCTTGTGTTATTATTAAACATTGTGGCACTCGACATGCACAAATAGTTAACGACTGTCCGCAATTTCGATGGAATTGAACTACTGAAAGGTACTTAACGCAACAAATCATATTTTGATCAAAACTGAAAAACTTCACGTTTCATACAGTGCACTTCGAGACCATTCATCATAAATAAGCCACCATAAACTAGAATGGGGTTCAACTAGAGTTGGGTCCAAAACAAACATCTCAGTATCTAATGATCAGAGATTAAAAAGCTTCAGTACATCCGTGTTCTTGGTTCGAAGTTAGGGTTAATTTGTACAAAAAAGTTTATTACACATTTCGCATCACACTGTGAATCGAATCATCTTCTTTGTTCTTGCATTAGCCAGACAGTACCGTCGAAATCATGAGCGTATAGCTGCTACCCATTACGCAGCATTTAATATTCTTAATATTCTCTTGACTGAAAGTCTAGGGTCATATGAACGCACTGTCCGTCTGTCAGCAGTAGAGTAGTGACATCTGTTTAAACGTTTTTCCCTTCGTATTTATTAATAAAAATAACTAAATATTTCGATATGTTGATCAACTCTTATTCTATCATTGCAAAAATCATGTTAACATTGTTTTTCAAATTTTGAAAATTTGTTATAATTTTAGATTCTCATCAAGGTGTGATGGTGCAAAATTTTGATGTTGTAGATTTTATTGTGGTGGGGCCCGCAATATTAGATTTTAATATTTTTTATAAAAAAAAAAAGGCAC